GTGTGACGGAGGCACCGGTACCGGCACACGGCTGTGCGCCTGTACAAGCATGTGGGTGTGGCAGGGCGCTGGTACCAATATCTGTGTGTGACAGGGGCATAGGTACCAGTATGTGGGTGTGACAGGTGCTGGTACTAGTATATGGGTGTGACAAGGGCATCGTTACCAGTATGTGGGTGTGACAGGGGCAGTGGTACTGGTACGGGTGTGAGAAGGGCACTGGTACTAGTGTCAGTGCTGGTGCCAGTGTGGGTGTTTTAGGGGTGCTGGTACCAGTGGTGAGGTTGGTACCAGTATGGGTGTGATGGAGTGCTGGTACTAGTCCTGGTACCAGTATGGGTGTGACAGGGTCACTGGTACCAATATGAGTGTGATGGGATAATGGTACCAGTATAGGCATCACAGGGGCACTGGTACCAGCATGGTTGTGACAGGGTTGTGTACCAGTGCCATTGTTGGTGCAACAGGGGCACCAGGACCACTAGTCACACTGGTGCCGTTGCTTGCATGACAGGGGCACCAATATTGGTCCTCTTACTTTTACCAGTACACATACTGGTGGTCATGTTCATGACAGGAGCACCAGTACTGGTGCTCATACCCCTGTGAGTTTGACAGTGGCAGCAGAACACTGGTGCTTCTACTGGTACCATGGTGGGCATGACACCAGTACCAGCACTCATACTGGTGCTCTTCTTTGCACTTCCAATGCAAAAAAAAATGCACTTCCGTTGTGGCCACTGCGTGTCATGGGGAGGACACTGGCATCAGTAATGGTGTGGGATCAGCAGAACGCTGGTACCAGTGCTGGGTTGGTAGTGGTACCACTGGGGGGTCAGCAGGGTATGGTACTGGAATTGAACCGGCGGGGCCATGAGCCTGGTGCTGGTCTTGGTCCTGGTGTGGGCACAGCGGGGCACTGGTCACTCGTGGGGGAGGAGTGCAGGCATAGCAGTGGTACCAGTACGGGCACCACCTGCCCAGCACTGGTACCAGCACAGCGCTGGCACTGGTAGGAGGGTGGTCACGGCCTGGGCACAGCATCCAGTGGCGGTACTGACACAGAGGGGCATGGGCACAGTGCTAGGGGGTACGGGCATGGCACCAGCATGGCAGCAGTGCCAGCAGGTGCTGTCTCTCTCGCAGGGCGTTCTTCTGGCTGGTGTCACTCCTGCTCTCCTCGCTCATCTGGTTCATCGCCGTTAAAGCCAGTGACCCCCGTGACGAGCGGCTGCAGAAGGGGCTCTTGATATTTGGGGTGATGTTCTCTGTGCTGCTGCAGGAGGCTTTCCGCTTCCTCTACTATAAGCTCCTCAGGTAAGGGCATCTCACACCCTGCTGCAGCACTGCTCGATGGTCATTCTGGCTGTGGCAGGTGTGAGATTTTGGCTTGGAGCTCCTGGGCTGGGGGAGATGCCAAGCGTGGCACCAAGCTGGTGCTGGGAGCGCACAGGTGGTACCTGTGTTGGTATGTTGACCTCAAGTGGGTCTCAGGTGGTGGAGCAGAGTGGTCCTAAAGTGTGGAGGACCCTGGGCTGGGGTAGCTCTTAGTGTCTCCGGGAACTGAGAACATGTAGTCTGTGGGTTTGGGCTGCTGCAGGACATGTAACCTCTTCTCTGCCTTGGTGACTAGCACCAGCATCGATCCCACAGCTTGGGGCGACACCAGGCACCAGGAAATACCCGCTTGGCTGTGCAGGGGACAGAGCAGGGTTAGGGATCTGCTCTTACCTCCTGGCAAGTCTGATTGCTTTCTCAGGGATGGTTTTGTGTGACCAGGGACAGCCTGGAGATGGTTTTTGGGCTCTGTGGGGTGGCGCATTGCTGGAGGCCCCGTGCTCAGTGCCCTGGCCAGCCCAGGGCAAAGTCTGGGTGCAGCCTCAGCAGCTCCTGGCCTCCCTGGGAGCGGCTTGTGCTGCCTGCCAGGTGACAGATGGACAGACACTGTGCTGGGCAGACAGAGAAAGGGAAGCGACGCTCGGGCTGGGATCCCTCATACCCGCAGCCTTCCCATCTGGCTGGGTGTTGGCAGGGGGCTGGGGGAAGGCCAGCTACGGGTCTGGCACTGCTCCCTGCAGCTGGGCACTGTGGAGGCGGGCAGGCAGCGGGTACCAGAGGTCCACAGAGGAGCCTGCCTCACAAGCCACTGTGTTTTGCAGATCTCTGTCACTGCTTTTTCCCCAGAGGGGAGTATGACAGAGGGCTGAGGAGCCCTCTGTCATCCTCCTCACCCACCAAACCCTTAGGTGATAAAAATTACAAAGCCCACCTACCGCATTTCCTCTTCCCAAAGACTTTTTCTAGCACTTTGAGCTATTCCCTGTACCCCCTACATTTTTTTTCAGCATCTTCTAGGAGTATAAATACAGAGATCAGGTTCCCCTCATGGCTCATGACAGAGGGCTGAGGAGCCCTCTGTCATCCTCCTCACCCACCAAACCCTTAGGTGATAAAAATTACAAAGCCCACCTACCGCATTTCCTCTTCCCAAAGACTTTTTCTAGCACTTTGAGCTATTCCCTGTACCCCCTACATTTTTTTTCAGCATCTTCTAGGAGTATAAATACAGAGATCAGGTTCCCCTCATGGCTCACGCCTCTCACATCTGCACTGGGGCAGCTTCCCAGGCAGGGGTGCTGCTCGCTCTGCACGCGGTGCCCCACTCGTCCCAGCCCTGCTCCCTGGAGCTGGCTGAGCACCTTCCTCTCTGGAAAATCTTCCTGCGTGGCTTCGCGTGGTTTCCACGTGTGGTTTGTCCGGTGACTCAGGGCGGTCACGCGGACGCCCTCCGTGGTTGCAGCTGGGTGATGGGGAGTCTGCTGGGTGGGTGGGGTGGTGCAGAGTGGGACCTCAGTCCCTTTTGCTCCATGCTGGTGCTGCACCGTGCCTCAGGAGGAGGCTGGGCTGTGCGGTGTCGGGCTCCAGCATGCTCTCACCCCACAGGAAGGCCATTGAGGGGCTGGTGGCTCTCAGCGAGGATGGCTGCTCCCCTATTTCCATCCAGC